TTTTTTGTGCTGAAACTTTTCGCCTTCTATCCGGAAGTCTTCATCAGTCAATTAAACACACAACACAAAACTGATTCTTCCCCCAACAGTTTACTCCAAAGTGGAACAAACCAGTCATGTTGGTGCTAAGATGGTCTTTTTGGCACACCACCTCCTCCATTGCCGGCCCTCTTCCTTGTTCAAAGCCGTGTCAGACTGGTTGATAACAACAAAGTCCATGTTCAATAATCCAGGTATACAATCCAACATTTTTCAGTCAGGTCATCTGGCAGTTTCTTTTTTTTTTGTGCTGAAATATTTCGCCTTCTATCCGGAAGTCTTCATCAGTCAAGGAAACACACAACACAAAACTGATTCTTCCCCCAGCAGCTTACTCCAAAGTGGAACAAACCATTTATGTTGGTGCTAAGATGGTCTCTTTGGCACACCTCCTCCTCCATTGCTGGACTTCTTTCTTGTTGACAGTCATGTCAAATTGGTTGAATACAACAACGTCCATGCTCAATAATCCAGGAATGCTGTCCAACATTTTTCAGTCTGGTCATCTGGATAGTTTCTTTTCTTTGTGCTGAAACATTTTGCCTTCGACCCGGAAGGCTTCATCTGTCAAGGAAACACACAACACAAAACTGATTCTTCCCCCAGCAGCTTACTCCAAAGTGGAACAATTCAGTTTTGTTTGTGCTAAGATGGTCTCTTTGTCACGCCCCCTCCTCCATTCCCGGCTCTCTTCCTCGTTGACAGTCATGTCAACCTGGTTGAAAACAACAAAGTCCATGCTCAATATTCCAGGTATACAATCCAACATTTTTCAGTCAGGTCATCTGGACAGTTTCATTTTTTTGTGCTGAAACATTTCGCCTTTGATCCGGAAGTCTTTGTCAGTTAAGTTAACACACAACACAAAACTGATTCTTCCCCCAACAGCTTACTCCAAATTGGAACAAACCATTTATGTCGGTGCTAAGATGGTCTTTTTGGCATGCCCCCTCCATATTGCTGGCCCTCTTCCTTGTTGACAGTCGTGTCAAACTGGTTGAAAACAACAAAGTCCATGCTCAATAATCCAGGTATACAATCCAACATTTTTCAGTCATGTCATTTGGACAGTTTCTTTTTTTTTGTGCTGAAACATTTCGCCTTTGATCCGGAAGTCTTCGTCAGTCAAGTTAACACACAACACAAAACAGATTCTTCCCCCAACAGCTTACTCCAAATTGGAATAAACCATTTATGTCGGTGCTAAGATGGTTTTTTTGGTACGCCCCCTCCTCCATGTTGCTGTCCCTCTTCCTTGTTGACAGTCGTGTCAAACTGGTTGAAAACAACAAAGTCCATGCTCAATTATTCAGGTATACAATCCAACATTTTTCAGTCAGGTCATCTGGACATTTTTTTTGTGTGTGCTGAAATGTTTCTCCTTCGATCCGGAAGTCTTCGTCATTCAAGGAAACACAACACAAAACTGATTCTTCCCCCAACAGCTTACTCCAAACGCGGACCAAACCAGTTATGTCGGTGCTAAAATAGTCTCTTTGTCACGCCCCTTCCTCCATTGCTGGCTGTCTTCCTTGTTGACAGTCGTGTCAAACTGGTTGAAAACAACAAAATCCATGCTCAATAATCCATGTATACAATCCAACATTTTTCAGTCAGGTCATCTGGACAGTTTCTTTTGTTTGTGCTGAAACGTTTCGCCTTTGATTCTAAAGGCTTCATCAGTCAATGAAACACACATATGAAGCCTTGATGAATTCTGATGAAGCCTTCTGGAATTAAGGCGAAATGTTTCAATACAAAATAAGACACTGTCCAGATGACCTGACTGAAAAATGTTTGGGTTGTATACCTGGATTATTGAGCAAGGACTTTGTTGTTAATCCTGGACTCCTTTCAGCCTTGCAGCACCCTCCATACCTCTATACACACGGCTCTTGCTTTGGCAATGCTGGCTGTGTAGTCTGGGAAGATGGTGACCTGTGGTTCTTCCTAGCTTAGCAGGACTCACCCCCGGCCCTCCACAGGATTTTTATCACATCTCCATCATTGTGAAACTTGGCGATGATCACTCATGACCCTCTTGGTCGGTTGATCTTCTACCAGCAAACACTGTGTCATTGGTCAATCCTTGTGTCTCAGTCCATCTGCAGCACTTCTTTAATAATTTTAGCAACTATTGTGGGGAGCTTGACTCTAAACGTTTTTCGATGCCAGCAATCTTACACCATCTCATTCTCCCCTCCATGTCCTCTCCTGAAGCGTGGTCACCGCATCAGACCATGATGATAGGCTACCTTTCATGTCTTGCATGTCGGCTTTAATGTTTAGTCCGGATGGCGGCCATGTTGCTAGATATTTTGACTTGCTTCGCTTGTAGCTTTAACTTCAAAGGGTCAAAGTTATCCAACAGCATATGCTTGAGCTCCTCTTAAAATTTTGGAAATGTCCTCCTTTAGAGATACTAAAATATCTGCCTGAAGTTCTTCAGCCATACCTGGATTTTCACTTCAAGTCTGAGAGGATTCGTCTGGGTCATCTGTTTCAGTCTGCTTTGTGGCTCTTGAAGCTTTTCTGCTATTCAGTTCAAAGTATACATTTAGAATGCTTTTTAACCTTTTGCATATTCACCCTTGACCTGCCGGCTGGAGTTTGTGTTTTAACTTAAAATATTGTCATCCCGAAGGAGCTCATGCATTCACGTGTTACTCCATGTCCCGCTAACTATTGCCCACTCAGATCATCTTATTATGAAAAGAAACAAAGATGAGATGTGGCCGTTTTGGTCAAAAACTTGTAAATGACATTATGTGCAATTTAAGGTGGTACGATCTAGTCAAATGTATGTGCTTAGTGTATGTACCAAGTAATTTTGGTCAAAAACTTGTAAATGACCTTATGTGCAATTTAAGGTGGTAAGATCTAGTAAAACGTGTATGTGCTTGGTGTATGTACCAAGTAATTCACCAAATTTTAGTTTATCCATCCATCTATTATCTTTACCTACTTCTTCCTTTCTGTGTCGCGGGGGTCACTGGTGCTCATCCATCACTGCCTGATGCTCTCAACAGATTCTATGCATGCTTTGAGGACCCAAACAGACCACTTAGCACCAGACCAGACTCATTTTATCACATGAATAAGAGTTCCTCAGCATGACCTCAGCAGAAGTAAGGAGTACTTTCAGGAGGATTAATCCTCACAAGGCAACTGGTCCGGACAACATCCTGGGGGAGGTGCTGAAAGACTGTGCCGATCAGTTCTGCAAGGTGCTGGCCGACATGTTTAACTCCTCCCTCACTCTGGCAACAGTTCCCACCTGCCTCAAGACTGTCACCATTATCCCAGTTCCAAAGAGCTCTACAGTGACTGGCCTGAATGACTATCGGCCGGTAGCCCTCACCCCGATAGTCACTAAATGCTTTGAAAAATTGGTCATGACCCACATCAAAGCCAACATCAATAAGGACCCTCCCCAGTACGCATATTGCGAGAATCGATCAACAGAAGATGCCATCTCCTCTGTGGTCCACACTGCTCTCATCCACTTGGAGCAGAAGGACTCCTACATCCATATGCTCTTTGTGGACTTCACATCTGCTTTCAACACCATGATTCCCCAGACCCTGATGGACAAACTAATCACACTAGGACTAAGTTCCTCTCTATGCAGCTGGGTCCTAGACTTGTTAACCAACATACAACAATCTTTGAAGATCCACGACTTCTCCTCCTCCACAATAACCCTCACCTCGGGCTTCCCCCAGGACTGTGTGTTGAGCCCCCTCCTGTTCACTCTGCTAACATATGACTGTGCACTGACCCATCCAGGCTGTCATGTTGTAAAGTTTGCAGATGATACAGCAGTAGTTGGATGCATCACAAACAACGATGAGTCCAGCTACAGGCAGGAGGTGGAACACCTGGAGAGCTGGTGCAAGAAGAACAACCTTCACATCAATGTGAAGAAGATGAAGGAGATGGTCGTGGACTAACACACCTACCCACCCCCCAACATAAGGGGATCTGCGGTGGAAGTGGTCTCCAGCTACAAGTACTTGGGTGTGAACCTGAATGACAACTTCAGCTGGGGCAACAACACCGCCAGCCTGATCAAGAAAGCTCATCAGAGACTCTACTACCTCAGGCGGCTGAGGCTAGGTGGGCTGAGAAGCTCAGTCCTCACCCCCTTTTACAGGTGTGCAGTGGAGAGCATCCTGTGCCCCAGCATCAATGTGTGGCATGGAGGCTGCACAGCTGCAGAAAGAAAAGCTTTGCAGAGAGTGGTGAAGGCTGCACAGAAGACCACTGGAGTCACCCTCCCCACCACCACAGACATCTACAACTCCAGATGTAGGAAGAGAGCCACCTGTATCATGAAGGACCCCACTCACCCAGCACACACACTTTTTCCCCACTCCCCTCAGGCAGAAGGCTGAGGAGCATTAAGTGTAGAACCACCAGACTGAGGAACAGCTTCTACCCTGAGGCTGTTAGACCCATGAATCTCTAACTAGAATAATCACTGTAGAAAAAAAAATCACTGCAATGCTACTTGGTTGTTGATATGTGCTGCTGACTATCCATGATGCTGGTCTCATGCTGCTGATTTATTTCATGTTGCTGTATTCATTAATCCTCATCTGCTCACACAGACTCATGTTCATGCTGCTGTTGTTTGGCACATTGTTTTTGTACTATTAGTGCTTAGTGTATTCTTGGTTTAGTGAATGTAGTGTATTCTTAGTTCATTTGTCGGATCTTGTTACCGTTTTTCTTTACAATTTGTATTTTTGTTGGATGTAATTGGGACCCTATGTACATAGTTTCGTTCTACCTCACGTACCACATGTGATGTGAATGACAATAAAAAAAACCTTGACTCCTTAATTAGGGTATTTTTTGGCCAGAGAGATGAAAGGAATGAAGGGCAGAGAAGGAGTAAATATTCTATATATAAACAAAAAATTAAAACTGTTTTGCTTTACTGAATGTGTTTGCAGGTCCTGCAGGGTCTGGACTACCTCCATGCAAAATGTAAAATCATTCACACGGACATCAAACCCGAGAACATCTTGATGTGTGTAGATGACGTGTTTGTCAGGCGAATGGCAATGGAAGCAACTGAGTGGCAGAAAGCTGGAGCCCCGCCTCCATCTGGCTCAGCAGGTAGCAACACACAGACATTCAAATGACAAGCTAATTAGTTTGGAAAATGTGCTTTAAAGTACATTTAACACGAGGAAAGGGGGTATGCAACAAATACTGATCTTTACATTTAGGTGTAAAGTTCAGGTCTCACCGGTCTCACAGGTCTCTTGTAAATGAGTCCTCGAGGTTCAATGTGATTTATCTGTATAAATAAAGGTTGAATGAAAAAATGGTTTAGGATAAGTCAAGTCAAGTCAACTTTATTTATAGAGCACATTTAAAACATAACCTGTTATCAAAGTGCTTAACAACAACAACAATCAATGAGTAAATTAAAGAAAAATATATAAATATATATATACAATACGCTAATAATAATAACTGAAGAATTAATAAAAAGCATTTAAAACATAGGGTCACAGATTAAAAAACACTAGATCAATTTACACTGTATGAAATGCCTGAGAGAACAAATGTGTTTTTAGCAGGGATTTGAAGTGAGGAATGGCGGTGGCCTGCCTGATGTTGGGGGGCAGGTTGTTCCAGAGTTTGGGGCCCATGACTGAAAAAGCCCGATCTCCTCTGAGCTTCAGTCTTGTTTTTGGAACAGCCAAAAGCAGCTGATCAGATGATCTCAGGGTCCGAGAGGGAACGTAAGGTTCCAGAAGCTCAGAGAGGTAAAGGGGTGTGAGGCCATTTAGGCATTTGAAGGTCAACAGAAGAATTTTAAAAACTATCCTCGTACGAACAGGGAGCCAGTGAAGAGAGGACAGAACTGGTGTAATATGTTCAGACCTACGAGTTCCGGTTAAAAGCCGAGTAGCAGCATTCTGGACAAGCTGAAGACGTGAGATGGAGGCCTGGCTGATCCCAGCATACAGTGCGTTGCAATAGTCCAATCGGGTCGTGACAAAGGCGTGGACTAGTTTCTCAAGGTCGGGTCTGGACAACACTGGCTTGAGCTTAGCTACCTGTCTGAGTTGAAAGAAGCTTTTCTGCAGAACAGAGTTGATTTGTTTGTCAAACTTGAAGTCAGAGTCTAAAACCATCCTGAGATTTTTACCAGACTGCTTAAGATATGGCTGAAGAGTGTCCAGGTTGACAGGATCAGTGGCGGCAGTTAAGCTAGGGCTAAAGACAATGACTTCAGTCTTCTCATTGTTAAAACTTAAAAAATTTGAAGCCATCCAGGCCTTAATGTCGTCCAGACATTTTAACAGAGGGTGAACAAAGCAAACACTTGCTGGTTTCACAGGCAGGTAGATCTGGCAGTCATCAGCAAAGCAATGGAATGAAAGACCATGTTTCCTCAGGATGGACCCCAGTGGGAGCAAATAAAGTGAGAACAGAAGGGGTCCAAGAATCGAACCCTGTGGGACCCCACAAGAAAGAGGTAATGAGGCAGATATATTATTACCAACCTTGACACAGAAACTCTCTCCACTTAGGTATGACCGGAACCATTCTAATGCAGCACCTGTGATCCCAACCCACTGTTCCAGCCGTGATATAAGGATACTGTGGTCAACAGTATCAAAAGCAGCAGTAAGGTGCGGGAGCACAAGTACCACAAATTGACCAGAATCGTTTGATATCATAATGTCGTTACAAACCCTTACTAATGCTGTTTCAGTGCTGTGGAGTTGCTGAAAACCAGATTGAAAAATTTCGAAGATTCTGTTCTCATTCAAAAACTTATTTAATTGAATGAAAACTGTTTTCTCCAGGATTTTGGACAGGAAGGGAAGTTTTGAGATTGGTCTGAAATTTGAGCAAGTCGAAGGGTCAAGTCCAGGTTTCTTAATTAACGGATGAACTACTGCATGTTTGAAAACATTGGGAACCACACTTGTCACAATACTACTATTTATATTAGTAAGAACAGAGGGTCCAATCGTGGGTAGAACTTGTTTGAAAAACGACGCAGGAATGGGGTCAGCAGGGGAACCAGAGGGTTTCATCTGACCAACGACTTTGTTTAGAAATGGGAGTGAAATGGGTTCTCACTGTCTGAAGACAGCTGAGCAAGGGACAAAGACAGAGGGGTCAGTTATGGACTGGGGGATGGATGATCTAATCAACTCTGCCTTATCAGCAAAGTATCTGGTAAAGTCGTTGCAGATGTCAACAGAGGCCTCCATGCTGGCAGACCGAGGCACGTTTAAAATGGAATTTACGGTATTAAAAAGAACACGAGGATTATGACTGTTTGAAGCAATGATTTGGGAGAAGTATTTGTTCTTTTCAGATTTAACGATGCTCTGATAATCTTTCAAACATGTTTTTAACATAATAAAAGAAACCTGTAATTTGTCCTTTTTCCACTTGCGTTCAGCTCTCCTGCATAGACGTTTGGTCACTCGAGTGGTCGCGTTCAACCAGGGATGTGGTGCCCGCTTTGGTCGCCTGATTTTTAGCGGGGCCACGAGGTCTAAAATCTTAGAGCAGGTCGCATCATGCCTACTGAGCAGCTCCTGCATACTAATACTGAAGCAGCATCAGTAAGGAATGCAGAGGAAAAAAGAGCAGCGGTTGAAGAGTTAAATATCCGACAACTCTTGGCTGGAGCGGGGGATTTAGACTCATGAATAACAGAGGTTTGGAATGAAATGGGTTTGTGATCTGAAACAATAGCATCCTCAATTTCCAGATTAACCACAGATCAACCATGAGACAGAACTAAATCAAGTGTATGGCCCTGTTGATGAGTTGGACTAACAACATTTTGCACAAGGTTGAAAGATTGTAACAGATTTAGAAACTCCTGCACCAAAGGCTTGTCAGGACAGCAAACGTGCACATTAAAGTCTCCCAGAATCAAGACCCTTTCATAATTGAGCAGTATTCCAGTCAGAAAATTCACTTATGAAGTTTTTGTTGCATGAGGGTGGTCTGTAGATCAGGCAGCACAGTGTTGGGTTGGAGCGGCCCAGCTCAAAATACAGCAGTTCAAAACTCTGAAAAGTCACAGCCTGTAGCTGTCTGCAGTTCCAGAGCTTTTTAAAAACTGTTAATAATCCACCACCCCTACCAGAAGTCCTTGGAGCATTAAAAAAGGCACAATCCACTGGCAAAGGTTCAGAAAAAACACTTAACTCACCAGGGACGAGCCAGGTCTCTGTAACAAACATGAAGTCCAGTCCATTGTCCACTGGAGCAGAAATAATCATTTTAGATGAATGCTTTATTTGTCAGCGACCTCACATTCAGCAGAGCAATCTTTGTAGAACCAGTAGCTGAAGGAAAAGCTGTGCTCTGAGCACAGATCAGCTGTTTCAGATTTCTGGAGTTTGAACCACACCTCCAAGGACCAAAGAACGTCGCAACTGTGCACGCGCCCACGGCGCGAGCCAGGCTCGACTACGGGGATCAGGCAGGACCCAGCAGGATCAGTGAAGCACCCGGACAGGCGAATATCCAGCAGATGGTCGGCAGGAGATGATAAAGCAGACATTCCGGAGTTGGTTAAGTTCCACTGGAGACGGCCGAAACCACCACGGCCGCGGCCAGGCCCGGGCACCTGGAGCGAGCTGGAATTGAGTGGATCAGCGAAGCATCCGGATAGACAGTTTAACGTCTGATGGTCAGCAGCAGCTGGTGACGAGGCAGCAGAGAGCTTGAAGCTGGCTTTAATCCTCACGAGACAGCCGGCACGTCTCCCACGGCACCTGGAGCAATGTTTTCGGGCGGGCAGAAACGCCGCATGCTTCAGGTAAACCGGGACATCAACAAGCAGAGGGGGTGGGGGTCCAGAGCCCCGATCAAAGTGGTCGAACAAGGCCGGGTTTGCAGTAGATAACTGTATATTTAAAAGTTGCTGGTGATCATAAACAAGCAGTGAGTTGATGTCACTGAAGAAAAATGACAAAAACAGAAAAAAACAATCAAAACAGACAGAGGTGAACGGCAAGCCACCAGCCATCTTCCCGGAACACAATAAGGTCATGTATGTTTGTAGTTCTTGCCTAAATCAGCAAGAAGTTATTCTTAAATAGTGAAACTGCTTTAAATTAGCTGTGTTACCATACATTTACACTAAAGTTGATTTATTTAACATGAAATACTAAAACGGCAGCACGATGGCGCAACTGGTAGAGCTGCTGCCTTTCAGCGAGCAGGTCCTTGGTTCAAACCCCGGTCCAGGGGCCTTCTGGGTGGAGTTTGCATGTTCTCTCCGTGCATGCGTGGGTTTTCTCCGGGTACTCCAGTTTCCTCCCACAGACCAAAAACATGCATGTTAGGCTGATTGGTAACTCTAAATTGTCCCTAGGTGTGAGTGAGAGAGTGAATGGTTGTTTGTCTCTATGTGGCCCTGTGATGGACTTGCGATCCGTCCAGGGTGTACCCCGCCCCTCGCACAGTGATTGCTGGCCATGGGCACCAGTGACCCTGTGACCCAAAATGGAATAAGCGGGTAAAGATAATGGATGTATGGATGGAAATACTAAAACTGAAATAATGGAGAATAATTCAGGTTTGTCAGAAATAAACTCAGGCAATAAAGTCTGCTTTTGTGTTTAATTTTTAATAATAATTTAGACTTCTGCATAAAAGTGACACCTGGGAAATGTGTGGCTGGAAAACAACTCAAGTTCCTAATATGAAATTCACATTTACAACAAATTCAAGAGACTGAATGCCTTGAAAAAAACCTAACAAAGTCCTTTTTTTCCCTTAAAAATGGTATTTGATGATGTAATTCTTGTTACAAAAAGGGATTCATAGATGAGCAGCTGCTTCCCTTTTTCTGACATTAAAGAGGTTTTTCTTGCCTTTCCTCTCCAGTTCTTTTCATTAGTTTCCATCTATATAAAAAAGTCTCTACAAACTCAACATGAACCCTGTCCTCTTGCTGAACCTTGTTATGAGCTGTCTGCTACTTACATCAGCCAGTCGAGTCTTGTGGAGCCAGTTATACATTTCTACATTTGTAAAAGACAAAACCACCAACTTTCAAAGCATGAAAGAATTAGCCTGATTGAACACACAGAAAAGTTCATGTATTTTTTTTCACATTAACATAAGAATACACATGACCTTTATGGTAAAAATGTGTTTTTTGCCCATTTAAAAATATGTAGTGATGATGTGTTTTAAAAATGTTGAAGCTGTTGAACAAACCTGACAACTAAGTTTGATACTCTTTCTTACTTATATGTTCACAATGAAAGCTTTCAGCAGATCTATTTAAAATATGTAATACCTTAGTAATAGTGTGTGCACATTTATAAATACTTAAAAAAAAAGGATTTAACATGCTTCATTTCCTAACATGTTTGTCATTGATGTGTTTTAAGCCTGCAAAAAATCATTAAATGTTTATTGACTCAGGTGTAAAATAATAAAAAAAATAAAAAAACATTTTTATTATCAAAGTGAAACAAGTGACTAAAGCTTTGGATGTGTTGATGTTAAATTTATGCTTGGTTTTATTTTTCACTTAAGGTCAGATCCAAAATCCATTTGGATGTTAATCCAGGAAGGAGGCTTATTAAACTCTGAGTTTGTCCATAAACTGAGTTAACTTACTCCAAGCTGAGAAACTCTGAGGTTTTTGTTCCAGAAATTACCTTCCGTTTAAGAGTGTGCACATGAACAATAAAAAATAGCCATTCTCAGTGGAGCAACAATTGAAAAAAGGGGCTGTTTTTGAATACTGACTATGGTAACCTTAGGATGCCGTGCATCTTGATGCTGTCACATGCTTAGCTCTTTAGTCTGTCATTTAATTCATGTAGGCTGTTTTAATAATAATTAAATTTGAGCATTTATATTACCGTAAGTGTCAAATAATTAAAGAAATTAAATGAGTCTCTTCCCTGTAAAAACATTTATTAATCAAAATATCAATTTGGAAAAAAATCTCTATTCAGGAAGACGTGTCTGTAAAATAAGATTCTGATAAACTGATTTTATAGTGAATCATTTTCTTACAGCTTAAATAAAAAAACTAAATGATGTTTAGTGGCAACAAGTTTGAACCCAACTCAATTTATTCTTTAAATGATACTTTGATTAATGAGCTTGTAACTTAAATGGTAAATGGTAAATGGACTATCCTTATATAGCGCCTTTCTATCTTATGGAGATACTCAAAGCGCTTTACACTACAATCTGTGCCTCATTTACCCATTCATACAGCACTCTACTAGATCTCTACAAAGCTAATTGAACAAATCATTCTAAAGAGACTAATCAGAGCTTTATCACATTCATACACCGATGGGACACACATCGGAGGCAACGAGGGGTTCAGTGTCTTGCCCAGGGATACTTCAGCATGTGACTGCTGGTGGATTCGAACCCCCAACTCTTGCATTGGAGAACGACTGTTCTAACCACTCAGCCACAGCCGCCCAACGTGCAAAGAACACCTTATTTTACTTCCCTACATGCCTCTGGACAGATGTTGATATATATCTGAATAATATTTTTATAATAATCTCTAAGGATTAATAATTGCAAATTAATCTCTCTCAAGATTATTCAGTTACTGTCACAATCCAAGTTATATGAGCAGCTATGGGGTGCCGTTTGTAAATTTACAATCAAAAATTTTCAGCAATATTTTGGTTTATTTAGCCTTTCATAAAAAAATCTTTTTTGTCATATTTTCACCATGTTATTCATCCATACATCCATCCATTATCTTTACCCGCTTATTCCATTTTGGGTCACGGGGGTCGCTGGTGCCCATGTCCAGCAATCACTGTGCGAGGGGTGGGGTACACCCTGGATAGGTCGCAAGTCCATCACAGGGCCACATAGAGACAAACGAGACAAACAACCATTCACTCTCTCACTCACACCTAGGGACAATTTAGAGTTACCAATCAGCCTAACATGCATGTTTTTGGTCTGTGGGAGGAAACCGGAGTACCCGGAGAAAACCCACGCATGCACGGAGAGAACATGCAAACTCCACCCAGAAAGCCAGTGGACCGGGGTTTGAACCAAGGACCTGCTTGCAGAGAGGCAGCAGCTCTACCAGTTGCGCCACCGTGCTGCCCATGTTATTCATACAGTTGTAAATGCCATAGTTCAAAACTAAATATTTAATTTACAAGCTAAATATTTAGTTTACAAATTAAATACTTAACTTGCAAGGTAAATATTTTGTTTGCAAGCTAAATATTTATCTCCACACTAAATATTTAGTTTATAAACTAAATGTTTATGTCCAAGATAAATGTTTAATTTAATAACTAAATATTTAACTTCCAAGTTAAATATTTAATTTCCGAAATAAATATTTAATTTTCTAACTAAACATTTAGCTCGGACCTAATTATTTAACTTGCAAGTTAAATATTTAGCTAATATACAAATTCCTTGCTGAAAAGCAGAAGTGGACTTTCAAAATAAAAGCTGAACCTCTCTCTCTCTCTCTCTCTCTCTATAATATAAATTTTGCATTTAGAATCAGAATAGTGGAACGCCAGTTTGGTGGATGAAAGGTTCATTGTTGTATTAATATTTTAAATATAAACTCCTGCATTTGAAGACTTGATAGGCTTAAAGACACAAAAGTTACCAGCATTTATCTTTGTTTTGTGGGGATTGTAAAGAAGTTTGACTCAGCAATATAATTTCTGCAAATTATATCTTATACCTTTATAAGATATATCTTTATCATATCTTGTTAGACTTTGTTCTGATGAGAGCACAGGTCTGTGGTGTTATATGTAATTAGAGAATGTTACAAAAATATCTTTGAATGAGAGAAAATTTTATATTTTCTGGAAGATCACCTCCCAATGTCAGATTTTATAAAGTAATTCTGCCTCAATATCAACAAAATTGATTAAAAATAAACAGCTCAGGTCAGACAGCTGCTGCAGGTGGGTAACAACTGGTAGAGACTCTTCTTTCAGTAAACCGGCCAGCAAACAGGTTTACTTCAGAGTCTGGTACTATGACAAACTCAGTGTTTAATTTACTTCTCTCCCTAAAGTGACACAAACCCAGTTTCTTTTAACTCAAGGTCAACTGCAGTAACTCAGAATTCTCACTAATCCTGCTTTCTCAACTTCAGGTTCAAGTTCAAGTAGGTTTATTGTTGTTTTCTGCTAATGGTTTTCAAAGTTAGTGAAAATGCTAATCTGCTAAACAGAAAGTTAGTTCCGTTATTAGTGGATTCGTGGAACTGGGCCCACCACTGGTTTATTGTTAGTAAAACAATAAAGCATCTGATGTGCTGTTTTTCTGTCTATATCTTTCAGTTAGCACAGCCCCCCAGCACAAACCGGTGAGTACAGCTGATGTGAGTATGACTGCAAACAGAAACACACAAACATACACCACACAAAAACAAAAAGTAAAGAACAAGACACAAACATGTTTCTCTAAAGTTCATAGAATTTCACAGCTGCTAGAGAAACAGGGAAATTGCTGAGTTTATTGTTAAAAGACAATAGAAGCATGCTTAAAATATGACATTCCAATAAGTGTGTTCCAACTTTCCTTTGTGTTTTATGGTGGATTGTAAATCCGAGATGTTTTCTGCTACCTACTGCAAGGAAATCAGAAGAATCAGAATAAACTTTATTATCATTGCACCGAGATACAACGAGAATATGTATGTACAGTCGTCCGAAAGATGGGCGGAGTGCACAAAGCTGCAACGAGATACAACGAGAATATGTACGTACAGTCGTCTGAAAGATGGCCGCAGTGCACGAAGCTGCAACTATAAAAAGCACGGCCCTCATTATTCTTATTCAGAATAATATTTTGCTTGGATGAGAAAAGGGAAGAAAACATGAGGCGAGACGGTATAAAAAAAAGATCTCTCATGCCGTGTCCTAGACAGGGCACGATTTGAGGCATCAAAAAAATTACCACAGCAAAGCAACATGAATAGACGTTATACATGTACATATAGGCCAGTGAAGACATTGAATTTTAAGGGAAGGTCATAGCATAGTCTAGAGCGCTCCGCCATTGTCCAGAAAAGAGGTGTTATTCATCATCAGCTCAGATGAGGTTCTGTCACATGTCCATGGTCTTGGGGAAGGGAGGGGTGAGGAGACAGTCAAAGCATCTTTGTTATTTTCAAAACATGCCAGGAGGAGTTGAGATAAGTCTGCCATCAAGAACACAGTTTGGGTCAGGCAGAACTCATGAATTGCTGTTTTCTGCCTTTTAAAGTCTCACTGGTATATATTCCTCTGATGGAACTCCAAAACAGCTGAATTGATCCTTTACGCCAAAAGTCGAGCACACAGCTTCTCCAAGATTATTTCCCTTTCATGTGTGTTGCTAGAGAGTCCGCAGTCCTGATAACAGCCTGCTCCAGCTCCCTGCTGCAGCTCCACAAATTCAGTCTGAGATCTATCGAGCTTCAACACATCCACATTAATTTATAGACAATCCAGAATTCACCAGCCAAACAGCAAAAAAAACAGTTGTCATCATGAATCCAATTTGTTTCCGTTGAGGTAAAAGGGTCCTCCTTACCCTGACTCCTGACGGGAGAAGTTGATCAATTTTGTTGAGAGACCAGCTGAACCTTTGAATTAGGAAGGTATGCAGAAAAATGAGTCTTTTTAAGGGTTCACAGCATGAAAGTGTGCAAGCAGGGAAGGGGGAGGGAGGCAGGGAGACATGTCTCGTTTCACCGGAGGACAGAGAGAGAAAAAAATCATAAATTCTAAATAAAGATAAAGTCAACAGTAAATACAACTTTCAGTTTTTTTCATCCTATAAAGATTTTTTTAAACAGACCTACGTAAATCTGCATTTGCATAAATGACAGACCAAAACACAAAGAAAAGCTAGTTTAAAAGATAACTGACAATATGTGGATTAAACCATCGATTCCCACACTTTTCAACATAAGATACGCACATTAAGTTTGGCAGAGACTCGTGACCCAAATAGTTTTGGGCTGAAGTATTTAGGTCAATTCTCCTTAGGAGTGACAAGGATAGATAAGATTAGGAATGAGATCATCAGTGGACAGCACAGGTTGAACAACTGGGAGATAAAGTTAGAGACAGACATGTCCATAGGAGGGACAGTGTGTATATTGGTAGAAAGATGTTAGACATGCATGTACCAGGAAAAAGACAAAGAAGATATCAGTGGTGTGCACAGACATTTTGGGGGGCAGGTGCTCAAATAAAATAAAGGGCATCTTGTGCGGCACATGGGACCTTCGGCTGCCTTGGCAGTCTGAGACTGATTACAGGTACATCTTGTATGTTATGTACATATGTGTATCTATTTCAGTTTTATAGCCATGTGCTGTGTGATGCAGATTTTTAATGATATTCAACACTTAACAGGTTAGTTTCTGTAACAATCAAACTGGCAACAACAGAGCAAAGATTACTTTGCACATTTTGGGGCATTGGTAGTACTGTACTTTGTATGCTTATTTAAATCCACAATTGCCACCATGGGCCACATACTATACACTGTAAAAAGAAAAAAAAAACTCCAGGAGGGGCACTTGCCTGGTCCAGAGGGCAAACGGCAGGTGCTCAAGCACCACCTGAAGTCTAACTGTGCACATCCCAAGATATATGGATGCATTAGAGAGGACATGGAGGTAGCTGGAGTGAGGACAGAGGATACAGAGAATAGAGAGAGATGGAGAAGGATGACTCACGGTGGAGACCTGAAGAGGGAAAATCCAAAAGAAGAAGAATACCATTACCTGTATCAACAAACATTGATTACTTTTATCCCTAGCTGTTACTTATGCTTTTTATTTATTGTAACAATAAAAACTGTGTCAGAATATGTTATAAGCAGTCATTTTTTTAATTTAATAGTGTAGTATGTCGGGACAGCTTTGCTGTGGACATCCTATTAATTAATTATTCTTAAGGCTAGTTCAAGCACAAAGAATATTAATTGTTTAATTAACAATGGATTCTTTCTTTTTCAAGTTAAATTTCTGCCATGTGACCAAGATAACTTGAGAGTGGAGTGTATAATTAGTGACATGAGACGCCATTTATCTTTGACCCATCAGAATAAATGAGGTCATTTATTTAACAGAATCAAAATTTTACATCAAACATGTACACTCGATTTTCTGATCTGTTTCTGATTAATAAACTTAGCAAGTTCAAATAACAAGACAACAGAGGATTACTGATGGAGAATAATTCATCTCTGAAGGCATTTAGCTTGATTTACTGGCGAAGAGGTTTCAAAAGGATGAGTAAAGAAGTTTAGGAGGAAAGTTGTGGGGGTTGGTTGAAATATGTTGACCAGAAATGGCACCCTTCATTCGACCCCAGCACAGCCCTCGGTACACTCAGTGCGTGACGACTCATTACCTTTGCAGAAGATAAATCAGATCCAGTACAGAGGTCCATTTCACGCTATCTTTCAGTGTTTCCGGTCAGAGTGGCTGGGAATCTTCCGAAGTAGTGATGAAGTACTCCGTTCAACAGAATAAGAACTTCCTTAGAAGGAATCTTCATTAGAAGTTGTAGGGCGTTACGCCCGGGTGAGTTCACAGCGAGGCGTGCTGTGACTCCACTGGAATGGACGGACCCTTGGCTCATGGTCCAATTCCATCAGCTATTTAGTTCAGCTGTAAGACTCCAGCAAGACTGCAGTGCCAGCCAGAACTCCAAACAGACTTTCAGTAAGAACTGAAAGTTCCAGTAAGACTCGCCGTCAGACTTGTAAGACCCAATAGTTCCAAGAAGTGTTGACTTTTAAAGGGTATCCACTTCCTGTTATGTGGTACTTCCTGATTGGTTAACACAACCAGCAGGGGTGGATTTTTAGTGATGTCAGAGGGTTATTAGGAGTCGCAGACAGCAGAAATGTTTTTAAGAATGGTTAGTACAGACAGGAAAATATTTTGAAGAAGTGACAGACTTTCAGGCACGCCAGTTTCTTATTTACTGTCTGAGAGTTTTAAAACAAGGCACTTCATTCTCATAACTTGTTCTCTGACTTTGACCGACATCAAATCCACTCCTCATTCAGACAGAAGAGTAAAATGCACACTTACTTCGTAAATAGACATTTAACTTGTATGATCTAAGTCTAATGAGGTTTAAAAATCATTAATACTGTTTCACAGTTGATTTAAATGAGTGGTTTACTTCAACATTAGAAATGGTATGAACTAAACACACTTTTGATTATCAAGATATTGTAAAATAGTAATGATAATATAAAAAAAGAAGAGTGTTCTTTCAATTGATTAATTCAGGATACAATTAAATAGTCTCTTGATGAGATCATTTGTATTTCTGGATTCAAATCAATGAAATAACAGTTCCTGTCCCCTGAAGGTCTTCAGAGACAGATTGATGTAGGAGGTCTATTTCACTACAACAGCATTTCTGTAGTTTATCTCCAAACCCTGAAGTTTTCACCCCAACTTTGGAAACCCCTGGATTAGAGTTATCTGTCGCGTTCTGCCGTCAGGAGTGTTGAATCCAATTGCAGGAGGATGACAGGAGACTTGTAGAAAATCAAAATATTTATTATACAAAAATAAAGCAAAGGCTGACGGGGCAGCTTGCTTACTAATAACCACAGGACACAGGATGGAAGGCTGAAACACAACACCATAGAAGGATAATCCGGAGACAAAGACAAGACACAAGGGAACTGAATATATACACAACACTGATTGGGACAATGACAGACACCTGCGGTGATTAACATTAGACACAGGTGAGACAAGGGCTAAACACAAGGAGGGAGAGTTGACTGGAAACATGAGGAAACAAACAAAGACGGGACAAAACCCAAAAACCCTGCATTATTATGTCTGAGGGGGTACTCATGCTGTTTGATCAAGGATGCTAACACAATGGATCACATGACTGTATGAGTTCCTGTCCTTGTGTGTTGCTTTTATTCAGCAGCTTCAGCAAACAGCCTCCAGATTTTGTTCAGACTTTTGATTTGAATTCAAATGTTGTCATAATTTATAGATGGAAGATTGTAGCATCACTTTGTTTTTTTAATCAAAACCAGGGAAAAGTTCCATAAGGAATCACAGCGCTTATATTTCCTAAAGGAATGCATGGTACTCACTGCATTCCTGTTAGAAATTTAGACGAAGATCGTTTTATGTTGAGAAATGAGATATATACTTATATATATATATATATATATATATATATTTATATATATGCTTTGGTCAAACGTTGAAAGTAATGTTATGCGATGCCACACAATATTGCAAGTTGTTGCACAATGTCCAAGAAAGGTAAGTCAGGTCCTCTGGACGGTTTCTTTTTGTTGAAACGTTTCCTCTTTCATCCAAAGGACTTCATCAGTCTGAGGAGCCACAACAAACTCAGTCTTAAAAGCACCTTCCCATAGTAGCTCTGTCACGGTTTTCAGGCAAAGCTGAGCAGGAACGAACCCATTTGCGCATGCAGAACTCAGAAGCGAGGTTGTAAAATAATAATCACTTTAATAATCAAAATAAATAGCTGACGTGGCAGCGAAAACTCACACACAGGATCAGGTCAGGATTATACACGAAACACAGGAGACAAACCAGGAACTGTACCAGACGATGCACTGACAAACACTGAGACACAGACCAGGGCTTATATACACACAGACTAGACGAGACAAATTACAAACACCTGGAGGACACGTGGGTGGAGATGATCGGGGTAATTACTGAGAGACACTAGGGAGTACAGACACAGGGAGACTGACAGGGGGATACCATCCTTACAGGCTCAACCAGTTTGATGGTACTCAGATGGTTTCTGGAGTCCGCCCTCTCCCCCGCCGACTCGTCTGAGGCAGCCATGGCCTTTGAACCACTTTGGCCATGACTGCGGACGGACTCCAGAAACCATCTCATCACCATCAAACTGGTTGACCTTCTATGAGAAGACGCTCTTTATAAGACTGAGTTTGTTGTGGCTCCTCAGACTGATGAAGTCATTTGGATGAAAGACAAAATGTCTCAACACAAAGAAACCGTCCAGAGGACCTGACTTTACTATGATGGATTTTTTTTACCTGGATTATTGAGCATGAACTTTGATGTTGCACAATGTGTTCACTTTTAGTGTGTTGTAAATTACTCTCAGCTATACCACATCAAAGTTAGGCCACAATTTGTAAAATCGACTGAGGTAAGGCTATTTTTTGTGTTTGCTAAGGTTGCTGAGCTATGGTAGTTACAAACCGGATTCCAAAAAAGTTGGGACACTAAACAAAGTGTGAATAAAAACTGAATGCAATAATGTGGAGATGGCAAATATCCATATTTTATTCGTAATATAACATAGATGACAGATCAAAAGTTTCATCTGAGTAAATGTAACATTTTAAAGGAAAAATATGTTGATTCAACATTTCACAGTGTCAACAAATCCCAAAAAAGTTGGGACAAGTAGCAATAAGTGGCTGGAAAAAGGAAATTGGGCATATAGCGAACAGCTGGAAGACCAATTAACACTAATTACGTAAATTGACAACATGATTGGGTATAAAAAGAGCTTTTCAGAGCGTCAGTGTCTCTCAGAAGCCAAGATGGTAAGAGGATCACCAATTCCACCATTTTTGCGCAGAAAGATAGTACAACAATACCAGAATGGTGTTATTCAGCATAAAATAGCAAAGAATTTTAAGTTATCATCATCAACCATGCATAACATCATCAAAAGATTCAGAGAATCTGGAACAATCGCTGTGCATATGGGTCAAGGCCGTAAAACTCTACTGGATGCTCGTGATCTCCGGGCCCTTAAACATCACTGCACCTCAAACAGGAATGCCACTGTCATGGAAATAACAGAATGGTCTCAGGAATACTTCCAGAAAGCATTGTCAGTGAACACAATCCACCGTGCCATCCGCCGTTGCCAGCTGAAACTCTACAGCGCAAAAAGGAAGCCATTTCTAAGCAAGCTCCACAAGCTCAGATGTTTGCACAGGGTCAGGGGTCATTTAAAATGGAGTGTGGCAAAATGGAAGACTGTTCTGTGGTCAGATGAGTCACGATTTGAAGTTATTTATGGAACACTGGGACGCCATGTCATCCGGACCAGAGAGGACAAGGATAGCCCAAGTTGTTATCAACGCTTCGTTCAGAAGCCTGCATCACTGATGGTATGGGGTTGCATGAGCACTTGTGGCATGGGCAGCTTGCATGTCTGGAAAGGCACCATTAATACAGAGAACTATGTTCAGGTTCTAGAACAACATATGCTCCCATCTAGACGTCATCTCTTTCAGGGAAGACCCTGCATTTTTCAACACGATAATGCCAGACCACATTCTGCAGCAATCACAACATCATGGCTACGAAGGAGAAGGATCCGGGTACTGAAATGGCCAGCCTGCAGTCCAGATCTTTCACCTATAGAGAACATTTGGCGCATCATAAAGAGGAAGGTGCGACAAAGAAGGCCCAAGACGATTGAACAGTTAGAGGCCTGTATTAGACATGAATGGGAGAGCATTCCTATTTCTAAACTTGAGAAACTGGTCTCCTCTGTCCCCAGACATCTGTTGAATGTTGTAAGAAGAAGGGGAGATGCCACACAGTGGTAAAAATGGACTTGTCCCAACTTTTTTGGGATTTGTTGACGGCATGAAATTTGGAAACAACAGATTTTTCCCTTAAAATGATACATTCTCTCAGTTTAAACTTTTGATCTGTGATTTGTGTTCTATTCTGAATAAAATATTAGATGTTGGCACCTCCACATCATTGCATTCAGTTTTTATTCACAATTTGTTCAGTGTCCCAACTTTTTTGGAATCCGGTTTGTATTTTTAGTTGAGTTGATTCTTAAAATTAATCAGATGTTGATGTACACCCACTGATTACTTTGTGAGGCTTTCATTAAAATCCATCCAGTTGTTAAGGATATATTTTGCTTTCAGACAAATGCACACAGACATGAGTGAAGACATTATCACCTATCTTTTGGCAGCAAGTGATTAAAAAGTGTGTTGTTCTTGTGGAAATCAAATCACCTAGAACACGACTTGTTGACAAATTTAGATGATTAGAGTATGATTATAGAAACACCTAACAAAAATTCAGTTGTCTGCAATGACAGTCATATGCTTCGTCACCAAATTAATCTTTATTTACCAAACGTACACTGGACACTTTATCTTATAAATATTTATCTTAATAAAGCATTCCTTTATGCCCTGAGTACCATCTTTTTACATTTTTTGTCTTTTGTGTTTTTCTTCCACTCCAGATGGGAAAGATCTCCAAGAACAAGAAGAAGAAGCTGAAGAAGAAACAGAAGCGGCAGGCTGAGCTGCTGGAGAGACGGATGTTGGAGATCGAAGCCTTGGAGAGAGAGGCTGAGATAAAGGAAGAGACGGTCAAAGAAGTCGAGGACAAGAATGTTGCTGAAGAGTCTTCTCTGCTGCAGTCAGCTCCTCCACCGCTGGGCCCTGGCATGGCCCTAGGAGAGAGCGATGATGAGGAGGATGATGAGGAGGATGGGGAAGATGAGGAGGAGGAGGGAGGAGAGCGGGAGAGACCCGTCAGGTTGACTAATCATACATGTAAGTTTTTTTCTTGTTGTACTCTTTTTTTTTTTTTTTTTTTTTTCTGATGGCCTCCCTTCTCCCCTTACAGCCATCCTCTCCACACCATTATTATGAAATATTTATTATAGTGACATTCTAGTGTAGTTTTTTTTTTTTTTTTTTTTTTTTTTTTTTAATAGGATAGAAAGAAAGAAAAGACAAAGTAAGACTCCAAAATATAAGAAATATATACAAATAGAGCACACGTCAAAACACCCGGCCACTGTCTGTTCACCTGCAAAGAACATGACAAAACACAGCAACAAAATACATATGTATAAAGAACTTAAAATATTCATGGCTTTGCAGTAAGTTTCCATAAATATATATACCCATACCTACGCCTATATACATACATACACATGAATATACACTCACATACATATCTATATATCTACATATAAAGCCTACATAAACATCCCTGCTTCTATTTGTGTGTGGTTGTGAGCATGCATAAGTGTATAAGGCTTCTCTAATAGAACATTTATTAGTAACTGTGAAGCAGCAGAGACCCGACCCCCAAGACCAGAGGCAGACGAAAAAGGGGGGACCAGAGCCCAAGACCCCAGGAGGGACCCCGACCGCGGAGCCCCCAGAGCCACCCACACAGGACGAACCACTCACCCACCCCCCAGAACGGACCACAGGGGAGAACCGGAAGATCCCCACCAGCAACCACATACAGTGACCCCCCGGGGCCAACAGCGACAAACTCATAGGCCTCCGTCGGCACCCGCCGCACCGATGTAGGTCCAGGTCCAGGCACCGAGGCCCGGGCACCGAGGACTCACAACACCCAGGCCAAGGCCTGACAGGGCCAGAGGACCCGAGCCCCACCAGGCAGACACCAGGCCGAGCCGACACACGCCCAAGCGCCCAGCCCCCGATACCAAGGGCCCCAAGCGCGCCGGCAGGCAAGGGCACACCCCACCAGGGGGCCGCGCGATAGGGGCGCGATGCCAAGCACCCCCAGTTGTATCAAAGAGGGGGCAGTCCGAGTCTCGGCCTAACAAATACCCATTCATACACAGACACAATCACACTATCCCAACCTCAATCTCACATTCATTCACTCAAAGACATACAATAACGATACATTTCATTCTTATTCCCGATACACACTCTATACCCCCCAGGTCCAAGACATGTACCCGCCCTCTACAGGGGGCAGCCCATGCCCAAACCCAGGAGGTAAACCCATTCATTCTTGAGCGGAGAAGAGCCAATACCCCAGACCCGGCCCAGGCCATGCCCCGCCGATAGGACACCCTCCCACCATGAAGAGGACACGCCACCGATCACCCCCACACACCGCCAACAACCAAGCACGCACCCCCAGCCGACCGCCCGCCAGGCCCCGGCAGCCACCCCGGCCAGCAGGCCAACCATGGCACCCAAGAGCCAAGCTCAGGGGGTCCAAACAACCCCAGGGAGAGCACAGCGCCAGCACCGCCCATGGCAACCCCCAGACCCTGAACCCCCACATAGTCCTGGTCAACACCCGACGGCCTGCCCTTCTCCCGGTCCCCACCCCCGGAATGGCAGTCTGTGCTCTTATTTTTTAATTTATTTAACCTTTATTTATGCAGGTATTCTCACTGAGTCACGAGGACTCATCTTCAAGAGAGACCTGTTTGGGAACAGATGGTGGGGGTTAAGGGTCTTGCTCAAGGGCCCAGAGTGGGGCAAATGAGGGTAGAGACAGGTGTGGGTGTTTCACCTTTTCCATCCACATTTAAATTTTTGTCGGTCCAGGGAGTCAAACCGTCGACCTTCCGATCACAGGCCCACCTTCTCTAACCTCTACGCCACCACTCCTACTCTTATTAGGTTCTGGGAGATAAACAATTTTATCGCTGGCAGAAATTTGTGGATGAATTTCTTTTGCCTCAGCGTGACAAGTACAATTCTGGTGTGACAATAGTTGTTATGTTTACGATCTGTTCCGAGTCTAAAAGATCAACTTCCCCTGTTTAGGTGAATAAAGAAGTAACTTGATAATGAGACTCGACATTATTACAAAGATTGAACTTGATCAACTGGAGAGCAGAGTTGTTTTCTGTCCTTCGCATCTTTTACTGACCCTTAAAACAGGTTTAACAAATAACTTATTACAACTCACTGATTTTATGTTGTAAATGACAGTTAAAATTAAAATCCGTCAAACCTCAGATCAGGGGATCGATGTGGCTTTTATCTGGGTCATGGACAAATGGCATAGATCAGAGTTACTAAAGGGATTCTGGGATTGTGCCTATCCAGTCCACACATTGTGGGGATCTAGATTAGGTTTACAACTGTTTCTCTCTAGGTTGAAGAAGTACTTGGTGTCTGTGTCACTCTTATTGGCTGTCAGTCCCTGTAGAACCAAAGTGTGAGCTTTGCTTGAATCCTGAGCAGAAAGTTGAGATCTTTCCTTGTGCTTATTGAACGCTACCATTTTGTCTCCCTTCTTACTTTTGGTGTTCACAATTTGTAGTAATTGAGCTAACCTCATCAAGCTAAATGTGAATGTGGTCTCTGTGCATGAGTCTTCTAAGTCTGAGACTGTAGTTCTTGACTAGAATAGGGTGGCATGCACCCTCCAGGGTTGAGGTGAGGTTTCACCTCAGCCAGAGGAGTTCAAATACTTTGGAGCGATAGAATGAAGCAGAAGATGGACTGACGGGTCTAGACCTTGATCACAATAACGAAGGAGTTGCTCTAGTCTGTTGTGGTAGAGAAGAAGCTGAGCTGAATGGTATTTACTGGTCCACCTACTACACATTCCAGCCCTCACTCTGAGGAGGGACAGACTCAGCACGGCTGACCAAGATCAGACTGCTTGCTGTGTATTGAACAAGAAGAAGACATCGCTGAAGCCCCGGAGCTCAAATGTTTACAGAGAAGTTGCTAAACTTCATCGTAATTAATGACCAACCACTATCAGCTGTAGAAAACTAAGGATTTTGATACTTGCAGCCAAGATATAGTTTACCCTCCAGGAGATATTTATCAGTACAACAATAGACCATCATAAAAAACATGATTTGAAAATTACAATTATATTTTATTATAATATATATAATATTATTATTATATTATATATATTATATAAACGAAACAAAAACAGTTACATTACAAAGTGATGTAATAACAGGAACATGTCTGTTGGTTTATGCCATGAACTTAGCAGATGTTTAAAGCCATTTAACATTTTATTTAATTTAATTCATTTATTCATTCATTTAAAAGAAACAAAACAAATTCATCAAAAAGAAAACAATGAATGAAAAGAGTGCAGAAAGAAGAAAAATCTTATATCTGCCCCTTAATAAAAAAATATAAAAAAAACTTTAAACAATCACTTAAATTAATCACTTTAATATCCACTTTAAAGCTAGGAATAAAAAATAAAAGTTTTGTGTTAGCAGAATTTAATTTTAACTTTAAAACTTATCCAACATTAATAAAACTTACCTCATGTTGCCTTTTTGGACATGCATGCATATATTTGTACAAATTGTACTTGAGAGGAGATTATTACAGCCTCATATAAAATCAATGATGATGATGATATCGGAACTGGATCGGTATCGGCTGATATTTAGGTTTAGGTATCGGGATCGGATCGGAAGTAAAAAAAAATGTGGATCGGTGCATCCCTAACTTATGATGTGGATCATGACCAAAACATTAAGATCCTAGAAACAAGGAGCTTTCTTTATATGCTGCCTGGGCGCTTGTTATAGATTGGGCGAGGAGCTCCATCATCTTGGGCGTAGCTCAGAGTAGAGATGGTGTTCTTCTCTATCGAACGGAGTCAGCTGAGGTGGTTCAGGCACCTGTTAGGATGACTCCTCGTGGAGGTTTCCATGCACGTCTGGGAGGAGACCATGGGACAAACCTAGGAAACACTGGCAAGATTATCTATCCCCTCTGGCCAGGGAACTTCTTGGGATCTTGGGTCACAGGGCAGAGGGGGATCTTGGGTCACAGGGCAGAGGAGATCTGACTTCAGATAAGGGGCAGAAAAAGGATGGGTTGATGTATGGATGGCTTTATGTTTGGAAATATTAAATTTTCCAAGTGTTGATTGTTCATATGTGTATGAGAGCAGCTTCTTTAACATCTTTAAAAACTATTGTACCATATTTTTATTGACTGCTGATGGAGCCAGATGTTATAGTGTTATTGATGATGGATGGTTTTGAGTTGATTCTAAAACAAGTGATTTTTAAAACAGAGCAGTCACTGTCACAGATCTACATCATGAATCATCATGTAAGTGTATACAGCGTTATGCAGCCTGTGAATGAAAAGAATGTGGACTTGTTCTAATCGCTTGGCCCACGCAAGTCCTACTGTGCATGAGAAGGAAAGCAGATTCACAGAAACAAATAAAAAAATGGAAACTCTTTCTCTGTCTGCCTCCTCTACCCGTCTCTTTCATTTTCAGATGATCTATCTTTTAGATCCTTTTTTTCTAGTCATTTTCTCTCTTCATCATACTTATCTCTCCGCCTACACGGTCTTTGACTGGACTAGCTGTGTATCCCTTTCCCACCCACTCACTGTGTTTTCTGTTCCTCTCTGCGTAAGGTGCAGCGCCTCCCCAGGAGCATTGCGAAGAACCTCACACCCCTGTTGATGACGCAGTAGAAGAGGCAGAAGAAGAGGATGATCCTACGCCAGTCGCTGAGAAAGATGCCCCCGTTCCCCCTATCTCAAAAGAAGGTAATGGAGATTTAATACAAGCAGAGGAGGACAATAGGACATCAACAGAAACAGAGGAGAATGTGGAGGAGAAGACAGAAGAAAAGACAGAGGAGGAAGAAAAACAACAACAAAAAGAGGAAGAGGAGGAGGAAAAGGGAGATAAATTGGCTGAGACAGAGAATCCGAAAAGTGAGAGCAAATCAGAGACAGTGGTGGAAGAAGAAGTCTCAAAAGAGCAGGAGGAAGAGGAGTATGAGGGGGAAGATGAGGAAGATGACACAACAGCTGACCTCCTCACAGACAGCACCTCCCCAATCAAACCCCCCAATAAAAAGATAAACTCAGTTAAAACAAACGGGCACATTCTGTTAGGCTCTGAGGAACTCCGACCAAACCCTGGCACCCCTCTGCCTCCTTCGCCCACCCCCGAGCCTCTCCTCTGCCCCCTCGTAGAGTCTGAGCTCAGCTACACAGACAGAGACGTCTCCCTCAGCTCTGGCTACGAGCTGTACAATGGCGAGGTGACAGAGCCAGGACTAACCAATGGCTCCAGCGAGCAGCATCAGGACAGGGTAGCCCTCTTCCCTGACCTGCCCTTTGATCCTGAGCCAGGAAACCCCATTTCAGGTGGGACAGCGGACATTGGAACAGACCCCTCACCAAACAGCCCCACTGCAGACCGTAGTCGCACTGTGTCATCCTCGAGCACAGGAGACACACCTAAAGGTGAGCATTGTTGTACTTCATGAAATGGATAAATTCTTACAGAAATGCAGAATTTCAAGGGAACATTTTGCAACTGAATTTTTACATGTAGTTGTATAAAAAAATAGAAGGTATTGTTTGTATTTACACTGAAACGCCTTTGTGCATGTTTTGTGCTCAGCATCAATACATTAGCGGAGCATCACTTGCTATTTGCAGGGTGGAGGTGACACTGGTTTCTACACAGCTCATCATGGTAAATGGACTGTACTTACGTATATAGCGCCTTTCTATCTTATTTCAAGATACTCAAAGCACTTTACAACACAATCTGTATCCTCATTTACCCATTCATACAGCACTCTACTAGATCTCTACAAAGCTAATTGAACAAATCATTCTAAAGAGACTAAGCAGAGCTTTATCACATTCATACACTGATGGGACACACATCAGAGGCTATGAGGGGTTCAGTGTCTTGCCCAGGGACACTTCAGCATGTGAAAGCTGGTGGATTCGAACCCCCAACTCTAGCATATGAGGATGACTGCTCTAACCACTCAGCCACAGCCGCCTCTGGAGGCCAGGACACTGTGCTCTTTAAACCATTCCAAACAATGGTTTCAGTGGGACATTTTATCCAGCTGAAAAATTACACTGCCAAAGGATCTTGAAGAGATATTTGACGGTTGTAAAAATCATAGGTCTGGTCCCAGCATTATCTTTAAGGTGGTATCTCTGAGTTGTTGCTGTTGATGGACTGCATTCATGAGGGAGTTCTCAAATTTTCTCATGGTTTCCAGAGGCTCTAAATTTATTGGTGACTCAGTCATGTTGCTTGAATTTTGAACATGGTCTAAAAATTTGTGTGGTCCACCTTTTTCAGAATAGCCACAATGCTGTGGTTGTCTCAAAACATCTCAACTTATTGTTCACAAACTAATGCACTTTGACAGTCCTGCAGCCCTGAATGTGCAAGCCTAAAAACATGTCGATGATAAACAATATTTATTTAAGGAATGGTCCAAACCTGCCCATCTTCATTTAATAAATGTACAGATTAAATCATAAATATGGTGCCAGCTGCCAAGGTGGGTACGATGTGGGCAGAGGTGGGCATCAAAATAATGTGCATGGGCCAGAAATAAGTTTGCAAACTGTGAACATGAAAATTGGCCACAAAATGTGGCCGCACAGCTCACTGGTTAATCACATACACTCAGAATGAGCTTTTTTTTTTGAGTCCCCAGTTTAGTCACACCCATAGTACCCTTTCCCTATCAGATGCTCCCTTGATGTGCTATAGTGCATATCTTCATCCAGCCTTCATTAGATCAGCTGTTGTGTAACTTTATCTTAAACTGGATACACTGGTTGCTGGTTCTGGACTTGTAGCTGTGCAGGTCCTTTGAACAAGTCTGTTTCTGTACTGCCCCAGTCATTAGCTGAGGTTGCTCAGAGCTTTACAGCTGCTTATTTCTTGTGCATGCAGTAAGTTGACCCACTGTTTACTTTCTGCACACTTGACTCTTTTCTGGACATGTACTGTTCTTCTCACAACATTGTTAGTGTAATTTTGTCTTGTAGTGATTGTGCAGTTATAATGTTTTGGTTCATCAGGGTACAGTGTAGTTCCTGTAACACAGTTACATGTGTTTCTTGGTTCTTATTAGTATGAGTTTACATGCTCTGAGCTTTGCACATATCAAATGTTGTTTATTTCATTGGGGAGATCTTCTTACATCACAGTGTGTCTCAAAGAGTTGAGACACAAATTATTATTTTATTTTATCTTTTTTCTCCACATCGCTTGTGCTTCATCCTAACACTTCTGTACTCACTCCATCTGTTCTCCTGTAGCTGTCATTAGCTCCAGACTCTAAACGTCTGCTCTCAACACCACTGCGTAATGTTAACTACGACTGGATTGATCATCTACTGCAGTGTGCAGTTGTACTGTTCTCTTTGGCTTCAAATATGGTTGGATTTCTCTGTGATCGTTGTATAATAAATCATAGGGAATAGGGAAACAAACCAATAACTGGTAATGTATCTAAAAATATCCTATTGCATTATGACACTTTTAAAAATTATTTTGAAATTATCAGGCCACTTGAATACAAAATAATACTATTTTATTTTTGCAATCTTTATAATTAATTAAAAAACACTATGGTAAAATCATTTTTAAAATGTATTAGCTTGCTTAAGTATTTATTTATCATGGACAATGTCAATTTTTTCATAAAATGTTTTTTTTTTTGGAACAAAATTGAATATCCTTGCTGAGGGACAAACTAAAGATTATTCTGTTCTATTACAGGCTCTCAAAATGCTGTTCAAAAATATACATTTACACATAAAGATACAATTTTTTTTTATCACACTGACTGCATAGCTGGAACATTTTAATTTGCATGCCAATGACAACCATAAGCATCAGGTCAAGATCTCATTTAGATTTGAATTGAAATCAGGATAATTTGACTAAAGAAACTTTTTTATAAAATAAAGGCTTGTAAAAGGCTTGTAAAAAGGCAGAAGGAACTGGTCCATCTTAGACTGTATGTTTGTAAACTGCTCTTGTGTGAACTTATTTGGATGTAAAATTGTACGTTGTGTCCACACACAGTCAGGGCCCGAGCTGCAGACCTCCTGATCAACCCACTGGACCCCCGCAATGCTAACGCTATCAGGGTCAAAATCGCTGACCTTGGAAACGCCTGCTGGGTGGTAAGAGGCAGTATTTGGATTTTAATACAGCTGGTTTAAAGCCTTGTTTTAAAATTATTAAGTGAGAGCATTTCTTTATTGTTTTTTTTTTATATATATTTTGTTTGTTTTCACATAATTCCATCAAAAGGAGTGACAAAAAGCAGTACTTCAATCCTGAAAACTGTAGTCATTCAACATTTATAGATTCAAACGTCAACATCTGAGTTCTGGCATTTCAAGTCTGCATATCTGCTCCAACTGAGCTGAAAAGGATCAAATATTTGTATGACGAAATAACAAGCAAACATATTATTTATTTAGTGGCAGGAAAAATGTGCTTTGACCTTTAAAATGACTTTAGTTGACTTTAGTAATGGCCCATCTTTAAATAATCCAGTTTTGTAATTATCCTTTTACTAAATCTTCAGTGGTGCCACTGTTTTTAAGTGAACCAGAAGCACATATTATGTGAGGTGAAAAGTCCTTTTTAAATAAGCACTCCCCCAGTAAGTGTTGTGTAACTACAAATGAAATGTCCTGCATTAGCTGATTTACTTTCCATCATTCCTGAAAATGAAAAGAAACCATTTGATAGTCCTGTAATTTCATCACGTAGAATTGTTATTTGATCCAATGAAAACTAGTAATAAAGTCATTTTCCACATTTATTCTTTTACTTTGTCTGATTAAATTTAGTTGTACAGCTCTCAGGAAAGCAGTAGGTATGATGTATATCACTACTTTTTAGGATGAACACTGACCTTCAAACTCTGTAAAGTAATTTGGTCCTATTAGTGTCTGAGTTCAGATTTTTTTTTATGTGGATCAGAAGAGAAAATAATCAACTATTATTTTCATTGCACAGTTAAGCACAATTATTATTATTTTTTTCATTTACCCTTTATTTATACAGGTAGTCTCAATGAGTCATGAGAACTCATTTTCAAGTGAGACCTGTTTTTTGGGGGGAGCAAATGGTGGAGGTTATGGTCCTTGCTTAGGGGCCCAGAATGGGGCAAATGAGGGTGGAGGCAGGTGTGGGTGTTTCATCTTTTCCACCCACATTTTAATGTTGACGGTACCGGGAGTTGAACCTGCAACTTTCCAATCACAGCCCCACCTTCTCTAACCTCTGTGCCATCACTCCCCCAAATACATTTCAGTGCAACCGTCCAAAGAAAACAGGGTAGACGGAGGTGTACGGAGGCTGCAGCTTCGCTGTGAAGCGCTGTCCTTATTGTTTAGATAAGAAAAGGGAAGAAAAATATAACTCATCACAAAAAAAAGCAACATAGATAGACATAAGGCATTTTGCGGGGGGGGGGGGGGGGGGGGGAGTGAGATTGTCTGTGAACACTGCCAAAAAGTTCCATAGTCCTGATAAAGATGGCACAGTGTCTATCAGCCACTCAGCTCTGATAAAGGTCTAAATGGTAAATGGACTGTACTTGTGCGCTATAGCGCCTTTCTATCTTATGGAGATACTCAAAGTGCTTTGCACTACAATCTGTGCCTCATTTATCCATTCATACAGCACTCTACTAGATCTCTACAAAGCTAATTTAACAAATCATTCTAAAGAGACTAATCAGAGCTTTATCACATTCATACACCGATGGGACACACAACGGAGGCAACAAGGGGTTCAGTGTCTTGCCCAGGGACACTTCGCATGTGACTGCTGGTGGATTTGAACCCCCAACTCTTGCAATGGAGGACAACTACTCTAACCACTCAGCCACAGCCACCCAAATGTTGATGACGTTAGGGGTGGGGGGGGGGGTAGGGGGGAGCAGAGCTTCATGATTTACATATCCTCCAGGAACAATTTGAGATAAGTTGGGCTATCCAAGGTCAGCGGGGAGGCTAGATTCAGATAAACAACAATTGTTTGGGGGCAGGCCGACTACTGATTTCATGTCTGCCTTCAGTTCTGCTGGATCACTCATGGTGAATCCAAAGAGCCAGATCTGTGGTCATTTTGCTGTTCCATGCTTGTAGCCTTCTCCAAGGTCGATTCCTTCATGCCAGTGAGTTCCAGGAGTCGCAAGTGGTCTGCGATTCACAGAAATTGCGTCCAGCTTACGGTTTATCTCACAAAGCATCCGAGTCTGAGCGCTCCAAGCACGGTTTAATCCTTCACATAATGCAGGCAGCCTCACAATCGCCAAAACTGCTGCCGACATCTTCCTAATTTATTGATATCCCAACTACCCGCCGATTCCAAAAAGCAGAAACCCTGTTATCATAAATCTAAATATGTATGCGTGATGCGTCTTCAACATCCTCAACGGACAATACAGACATGCACGTCATCTTCCATTCACCCCAGTAATCCATGAGATATCCAGCTGCCTGTGTCCATGAGGGTTCTCCTGCAACCTGTCTCCTCGTCGAGAAAATGTTATCAATTGCGTTGAAATACCAGCTGACCAGATCCATAATTTACGATTAGGAAGATATGTAAAGAGAGGCTCTGAGAAAGATTCACAGGACAAGAGCAAAAGCAGAAGGTTTAAATATCAGTGTTTCCTGTCGATGAGTTCTGGTGTGCAGCAGAAATTATTCAGTTTAGTCTGCTGAGCTAAAAAAGCTCCGGCAGGAGAAGAGCTTTGATGAATCTGTGGTTAAACACACAGGAGTTACACAAAAGCACCGAAACACAAAGGTGGACGAATTTACAAGGAATACAATAATTCACTGTTTACCTGTGTTGTTTCATCTCTCCCTATGAAATGAGGATTAAAAAATGTTTTTGAATTTAATGAGCTAACTTTTTTAATACTGACTTATGTATGAAACTAGATATAGTCATTTTCTGCTTTTTCTCTCTACTCTTGTCCAAAGCACAAGCACTTTACAGAAGACATCCAGACAAGACAATATCGTTCTATAGAGGTCCTGATAGGAGCCGGTTACGGTACTCCAGCTGACATCTGGAGTACTGCCTGCATGGTGAGGAATATTTATACACCTGTATAAATAAATATGTATATACTATTTATATCTAATGTAATAACTTGTGTTAGGCTTTTGAGCTGGCCACAGGAGATTATCTGTTTGAGCCTCACTCAGGAGAAGACTACTCCCGTGATGAGGGTGAGTATTTACATCCATGTATTTAGTGAAACGTTCAAAATGATCAAACTCGTGAGCTTAGTCTACAGGAGATCAAGTCTAAATATATTCTCTTTACAGTGCAAACAATATGAGGACTTGAAGAAAAAAAAAAAGAATTAGCAGTTTTGAGAAAAAGCATGTCTAAAGAACGTGTCTTACATATTTAAATTGGCTCCAGAATGTTTCCCAATTGTTTCATTGAAGGGTTATGAATCGAATGAGGGGTTTATTTATGCTTTCAAATGTTTCATCTACCATTTGTAAAGACAATTTAGTGCCATAAAGAAATGCATTAAGATAACACAATGGGAACAATGGGACTGATATGTTATTTGAAACACAACGTGTGACCAGTGCTGGCAGAATGAGCTGCAGCAAGGACATTTTCAATATTATTATTTTCAATTTCAGAAACTTCAAAATGACAGTTTGTTGACACGTGGTGTTTATTTGCCTCGTTAGGTCATTTTCAAATGAGCATAGTTGTAAACTCAAACTTTATTGGTTTGGAATGATGTCATTCCAGTTGTGTATGTAAAAAGGGCTTCACAGTAACACATGGCATTATACAAAGTGATGTTTTGGCATTACAGCAGAGAAAATTGGTCAAATTCAAAGGAAATGAAAGAGCTACGAATGATTTTTTTTTCCTGGAGACGAAAACTTTAATTTAAAGTCGAAGATGGTTAGATGATATCTATTGACTCATTTTTATGCAACTCTTGAGACAAAAATCAACATTTTCACTTGTTTGCGCTGCAGATTTTGCTCGTCCTGACTCATTTTGCCAACCTGGGTCACAGATACTGATTGTATATTATTTGATCAAAGCCCCTAAAGCTCAGTTCAGCCATCCTCCTCCCACTGCCAGCTGTCACTTTAAATTCTGCTGCAGTGCCTCCATCTTTAATCTGTTCTTCACTAAAACTTCACCTGTTTAAATGTTATAGATACAGAAAGTATAGCTTCATTCCTGCAGAATCACATGTAGTGTAGAATAGTAACTCTTTTTAATTCACACCTAAGAAAATTAGCTAGCTGGAGAGTTTGTAAACATGTTTGTATTTTTGTTTAGGTCACAAGCTGCTCTATGTGTAAATCTGCATGCAGACTGTGGCCACTAATGAAATTTGCTGCAGAACCTGACACGTGCACACACAGTGCACCCTCATCCCCACCTCTCTCTCCCTGATCGCTTCATCTGCACTGATCTTTGATCTCGCTCAGCTCATTGTGGTATTCTTCGCGCTGCATGTGGCACACAGTTCCTGTAGGTGTTCTGCACAGGCGCCAAGTCAGTGGTATCCAGTCGTCCCAGTTTACAGAGAACCGTCTTTGATCTCCACATTGAGTCTGTAGTTTCAGTGATTTTCTGCATGTTGCTGTTGTTTGTCTTATACCTCACCTCTCCTTTGGAGGCACAGCTTATTAACTTGTTTTAATCTATGACTGTTTCTTTTGTTTATCTTTTTTCCTCTCCCCTCTTTTTATCTCTCCCCTTCCCTCTCAAATTGGTTTATCTTTTTATTTTTCTATTTTTCTTTTGCTCCCATTTCACCTTTATTCCTTTATGAAATTTCATTTAATCTCGATTTGTTGAATCCTCTCCACTGTGTATTTACTTTGAATCAAACTGTCTCCCTCCTCCTCACCGTTCTCTTTGTCATTCTTTTTTCCTCATCCTTCCTTTCCTTCCCTTCGTAGACCATATAGCCCACATCATAGAGCTGCTGGGCTGTATTCCAAGGCACTTTGCGCTCTCCGGAAAATATTCCCGGGAGTTCTTCAACAGAAGAGGTAGTGCTGTCTGAAGAGCTGCTGGGGCTGAGACACACAGATGTCCAAAAGGGACAAAATGAACACAAGCAAACTGTTAAATGTGCTGATTAGGTATAAATTGTTTCTGTTAGCTGAAGTGTGGTGAAAATCAAGAGACTTCCTCTCTATCTTGAGTCTGCAAGTGTGTCCATGCAGAACTTTGCGGCATCAGTGTGTGTCAGTGCCAAGCAGCCTGTTGATGTGTGTGTGCATGCTGTAATGTGCCTGTTCCCTTTGTGACGTATGTGATGGTGGGCAGACCACATCGCTCTGATCATGGAGCTCCTTGGAAAGGTCCCGCGCAAAGTGGTTGCTGCAGGGAAGTTCAGCCGAGAGTTTTTCTCCAAGAAAGGTAAAAACAGAACTGTGGCTCATGGCTGCTTTGGTCTCATCCTGTCTTGGTGTCTTGTCTGCAATATCTACAGGTCCCAGCAGTGACAAAAGCTGAACCAAGTGTTTTTATGTAGTTAAGTTGCACAGCTAAAGTAAATGTTAAGGCCTCCTTCACAGTGAATGGTAACACCACTACAGCATAAAAACCATCCAGAGCATGGATGGTCTTTGAAGGGTTTTGGTGAGGTTTTATCAATCAACCTTTATTTATACAGGTAAATCCCATTGAGCCTCGAGGACTCATTTACAAGAGAGACCTGATTTCAACAAAGAAAGATGACAACAATGGACAACAGCAACAACAATAAACAGTTATAAAAAAGCATACTACAGTTTTTTTTTTTTTTTTTTTTAACAAATAGGATGGCTAAAAGGAAAAGGTAACAAAACAAAAAACAGCTAGATTCCAAGACAAATGTAGAAAACTAAAAACAGGAACATGTCAGCATTGGTCCCTGCCAGGTGTCCAACAGATTCTTAAAGACACTTAGAGAGGTCAAGGTCGAGAGCTTCAAATCTTTTTGTAAGATGTTCCAGGAAACAGGAGCGGAATAGGAGAAGGCCCTTTTGCCTAGTTCAGTCCTCATTGAGGGAACACTGCATGTAATAATGTCCTGAGAGCGCACTCCGTAGCTGCACTCACGCAGAGACATGTAGGAGGAGATGTATGAAGGCAACAGACCAAGAAGTGATTTAAAGATGAAAATGTACCAGTGAGAGAGTCTGCGTGAAGTTAATGATGTCCAGTTAACCAGTGAATACAGTGTGCAGTGGTGAGTACGATAATCACAGCCAGTTATGAATCTTAGTGCACCATGATAGACAGCATCAAAGGATTTTTTAAGTAGCATATTAACAACAGAGTGGTCTCCCCTTTGTGCCTGATAGAGCACAATAAGTCTGTGATGAGTTTGAGTATCTACAAAACTTCCTTAGCAAAGTCGTGATGGTATATCATCTCAATGGTAGCATATCAAAATCCTGGTGGTATATTCATGACAAGGGGACCTAGCATACGGCTGTTTCTTGGTTGTTGCAAATATAACACTGTATTGATCACACTAGCTTAATGCTGAATGTGAAATCAGCCTGGCACGCAGTCCCTAGTGTCATGTTAAGTTGGCGCCTGAGGCATGGTATGGTACTGTCCCACTGTCATGGGAAGATGCTGCTAGAGCACGGTGAGGACATGGGAGAGTGTCTTGGGGACATGGAACAGCAGGGAAAACTATTTGCAGCATATAGCAGCATAACATTTTCCTTCACACTGATGAGCATTTCCAAATTGTCCACAGTGGAGCTTCATTCAAATAACTGTGTGTTATGGATAACTTAGTGGGCTCATCATCCTGTATGGAGGGTGTCAAAGCTTCTGCGCTGACTGATTCAATTATACTGTTTGCAAAAATGCTAACTTAGTCATTTCTTATGTTGGTTTGAATATAATTTATTTAAAATAAAGGTCGTCTGTCGCCCATAATCATATAAAGAGCCAAAAAAATATATAATTTCAATAAACCTAAATTTTACACTTCATTTAAAAATTGTTTGCTCCATTTAAATAATCTGCAATTTTGTGCACTATTTTTAAGAAATGAATGTCAGTTGCATAGACAGAACCCAAGAATTTAGATTTTAGAGTTCAGCTCATACCAAACTTGTGCTTCTTAAGATTCTTAAAGCATGATGGGTCCACATAGCTCTCCCACCCCCGCCCCCCGATTCAAGCTCAGTTTTAAAATATTTTTCACTTTAAAGCCAAATGACCTGCCCTGTCCTATTCAAGGAAAGGACCTGCGGTACATTTCAGGAGCGCTAGTAGTTCCTCAAAATTGAGGTCAGTCACATATTTTTGTTGTTCTTTGTGCTCTGCCTGTCTAAACAACTTGTTTTAGATCAGTTCCACCTTAAGGTGGAACCTAGGTTTACTAACCCTCCTCTCAGAGGATAAAGGTGCTTGACTGGAGTATTTGTTCGTAAAACAGTATTCATGTTGTCTAAATATGACGTACCAGTTAGACTCAACTACAGCAGTTAAAACTCTTCATCTCTACAATGTGTAGCGACGTCTATAGGGACAATACAGTAAGTTTGAGTCAGGTCCTCTGGATGGATTCTTCTTTGATGGACGACAAAGAAGAATCCGTCCAGAGGACCTGACTCAGCATTGTTATTTGATCTGCCTAGATTATTGAGCAGCATGAGGTTTTATGTCCATCTGTTTTATTTTATAAAAATTCTAAGACCTCTAAACGTGCAAGATTTATGACAACTAATACACTTTGAGAGCTTGAACATTCATATTTTATTTAAATGTATTAACTTTACATAATAATAATCTGACTAGATTAACCACAGCCAAGCCTATGGTCAGAAATAAGCAACAGAAGGTTAAAGTTGTCAAATAATTTCACTTGAAAATGTTAGTTTGTGATTTGGTTTATGATTTCTTGTGACTGTCCTAAACTTTGGGCAGTAGCTCCTTAAAACATTTGAAAATGTATTTATTTAACATTAACCACATGCTGCTATTATTCAGGTGGGTTAGGGGAAATTTAACTAGGGTTTAATTCCTGCCTTTTATTTAATTTCTTCTTACAGTGGAAATAAAACTAATAATGACTGTCCAGATGTTCACCTGAGTCTCTTGTTCTGTTCATTTTTCAGCTTGGGACAGACACCACTAATATTCACTTTTTAGGTTTCTCTCCTCTTCTTTCTGCTCATGCATTCTTCATGAAGTGTCATGAGATCTGAATATTCTGTCTTTGATGTCATCTTTATCCGAGGTCTGAGCGTGCACTTGATGTCTCAATGTTCTCCTTTTATCTCCTGCTCTGTGTTAATCTGAGGTGACGTTCTTGCTCTGCCTCCCCAGGCTTCTCCTGTCTGCCAGAACGCCTTCAGCTGCGCCGAGCAGCCTCGTCACACTTGTTCTTTCATGTGCACTGATTTTTTAAATTTTATTATTGAACCTCAGGAGTTTGGTTGATTGTAGATGGATCACCTGGAGATTATATCATGTATGCAATAATGTAAACTCAAAGATTATTCACAACACTTTGCTGCAATATTCTTAATGAATATATTTCTTCTCATCTTGTTTGGAGTAAAAAAAAGTTACTATAGCAGCAATGATCTGAGATGGGTCTTTGGTTTGGCTCCTCCCATCAGAAATCAGTATCCTGCAGTGACTTTCAGAATCAGAATAAACTTTATTGGCATTGCACCGAGATACAATGAGAATAAGAATAAGAAGGCCGCACTATATAATAGTTGCTGCTTCGTGCACTCCGCCCATCTTTCGGACGACGTACAGTCGTCCGAAAGATGGGCGGAGTGCACGAAGCAGCAGCTATTATATAGTGCGGCCTTCTTATTCTTATTCAGAATAATATTTTGATTAGATGAGAAAAGGGAAGAAAACGTGAGGAGAGACGGTATAAAAAAAAAGATCTCTCACACCGTGTCCTAGACAGGGCACTATTTGAGGCATCAAAAAAACCTACCACAGCAAAGCAACATAAACAGACGTATACATATACATACAGTATAGGCATAGCATAGCATAGTCTAGAGCCATTGTCATTGTCCAGAAAAGAGGTGACATTCATCTTCAGCTCAGTTGAGATTCTGTTAGATGTCTGTAACATGTCCACAGCCTTGGGGAAGGGAGGGGTGAGGAAACAGTCAAAGCATCTTTGTTGTTTTCTAAACATTCCAGGAGGAGTTGAGATAAGTCTGGTGTCAAGGCCACAACTTGGGTCAGGCAGAACTCATAAATTGCTGTTTCTGCCTTTTTTAAAGTCTCGCTGGTATATATTCCTCTGATGGAAACTCCAAAACAGCCGAAACCTTTACTCCAAAAGTCAAGCTCACAGCTTCTCCAAGATTATTCCCACCATTCATGAGTGCTGCCAGTGAGTTCACAGTCCTGATAACAGCCTACTCCAGCTCCCTGCTGCAGCTCTCCCAATTCAGTCTGAGCACTGTCGAGTTTCGACACATCCACACGAATTTGGAGACAATCCAGAATTCACCACCCAAACAGCAAAATAACCATTGTCATCATTAATCCAATTTGTTTCCATCGAGGTAAGAGTGTCCTCCATACCCTGACTCCTGTTGAGAGAAGTTGATAAATTTTGTTGAGAAACCAGCTGAACCTTCAAATTAAGAGGTATGCAGAAAAAACAAAAAGAGGCTTTTTAAGGGTTCACAGGACAAAAGAGTGCAGCAGGGAAGCAGGTGTGTGTGTGTGTGTGTGTGGGGGGGGGGGGGGGGCAGGAAAACACGTCTGGTTTCACCGGAGAATAGAGGGGGAAAAAAAAAACGTTTGTCAGACTTAGATTTCCTGCCAATCATTTCATCATCTCTTCAAAAACTTGATTTGTTTGATCTTTTTCCAATTTTCTGAATCTATTTCTCTCCATCTTTCTTCGGTTGTTGAAGTTTTTAATCAAGTCTTTAAAGGTTTCCAACATATTTTTATATCACCCCCAGTTTTCTGATGCTCAAACAAAATGATGAGGCTATTATTTAAATCAGCCTTTGAGTGACAGAAGTGCAGGGAAAATATTCAGCTC